TGTTTTTAGTAGAGTCGGGGGTCTCGTTCTTGCTCATGCTTGTCTTGAACTCCTGAGCTTAGGCTATCCACCCACCTCAGCCTCTAAGATAGTAGGTGTGAGCCACTGCACCTGGCCATTTTATTGTTTTTATACATCTATAGATTTTACATCCATTTGTTCTGGAGTTTTAGTTCTACCATGAAGGAAATCTCTATTTTGCCACTCAGATTCTTTTTTCTTTTCTTTCTTTCTTTCTTTTTTTTTTTTTTTTTGAGACAGTGTCTCACTCTGTCTCCTGGGTAGAGTGCCATGGCGTCATCACAGCTCGCAGCAACCTCAGACTGTAGGGCTTGAGCAATCTTCTTGCCTCAGCCTCCTGAGTAGCTGGGACTACAGGTGTGTACCACAACACCTGGCTAGTTTCTTCTATTTTCAGTAAAGATGGGGTCTTGCTCTTACTCAGGCTGGTCTCCTACTCCTGAGTTCAAGCATTGCTCCCACCTCAGCCTCCCACAGTGCTAGGATGACAAGTGACAGCCACCGCACCTGGCCTCCACTCAGATTCTTATACAGTGGATTCATTTTTATGGATTATGTAGGCTAACTTAGATGTCAGCCTTTGTCACTATAAGCACCCACTCACGTGGTTCACTGGGGAATGTGCATCCCTGCTGCACCTGCTTACTTTCCACCTTCTGTTTCCAAATAGAGAACAAGGATGGAGTGAAAAGAACATGGATATTGCTCTTAGATTTTGACTATAAATCCCAAAGGTTTACACGACTCAGGGTGCAATCCTCAGCCTCAGTTTGTCCTCACCTCTAAGGTGAAGGTAGTGTCTGCTTGTGGTAAAGATTACATCAGATGTAACTGCCAGGTTCTCACCAAATGTTAGTTTCTTTTCCTCTTTCTCTCCCTTACATCCCCCTTTCTTCTCCTCTACAGTGAAACTGTAGTTTGTTTCTCTCTCTTTGTCATAGAGATTTCCTTGCTTTCCGTACTTAGCTTTTCTGACTTCATCCTTATCCTTCTGTTGTTTTAGCTATTTTTATAAAACTCTTTCCACCTAACTGCTGCTCAGCAAGTGAACACCTGTCTGTATTTCCACCTCTGTCCCAGTCCTCCTAGGTTTCTGGTTACCTTGGAAATTCAATTTCACTTTCTATTCTTTTTTGAGACAGAGTCTCCCGCTGTCACTCTGGCTAGAGTCCCATGGCATCATAGTTACAGCAACCTCAAACTCTTGGGCACAAGTGATCCTCTTGCCTGAGCCTCCAAAGTCATTGGGACTATTTTTTTTTTTCTCACTATTTTCAGCATCTCACTCTTGCTCAGGCTGATTTTAGACTCCTGAGCTCAAGCAATCCACCTGTCTCAGCCTCCCAGAGTGCTAGGATTACAGATGGAAGCCACTGCATCTGGCCACAATTCCATTTACTAATAGAAGCAATATTATAATGGTGGTCCTGCTTCCAGGCTGAAAAGCCTAGAAACAAAAGCGTGTTTAAGTCATAAATTAATTGAAATACATTATGCTTGTACCAAAGTGAAAGAAAATAATGTCATTGTAATTCTAGTAATAAAATGAAAAAAAATTCAGTAGGAAATATCCATGTACCTTGAACATTGTAGAATGTAATTGATGGAAATTCTTCAAAGAGCTTGTGAGGGCTTTAAAGCATTGCAGCACTTTAATATTATGTTTAATTAAGAAAACCTTTTCTAATGCAGAAGAGCACTGTGAGAGTGCTAATTTATTAGCCATATTTATAGTTTTTGTTTAGACTCAGAAATGGAATGAAGAGAGAATAAGGCATTTTCTGTTGGATAAATCCATCTCCTTTCTCCAAAAATCCTCCCCGTTGGTCAGCCTTTATGTTCTTTCTTTACTTATGTGAACTTTCCTTTTTTACTGAAATCCTTGATACTCCTAATTTAGAACTTAATTCAGGGCTGAAATTTAATGGTGTATGTATACTGTACTGTTTTTCTTTTTTAGAGACAGAGTCTCACTTTGTCACCCTCAGTAGAGTGCTGTGGTGTCATAGCTCACAGTAACCTCCAACTTCTGGGCTCAAGCCATTCTCTTGCCTCAGCCTCCTGAGCAGCCGGGCAACAGGTACCTGCCACAACACCTGGCTATTTTTTGTTGCAGTTTGGCTAGGGCCGGGTTTGAACCCGCCACCCTCGGTATATGGGGCTGGAGCCCGAGTCACTGAGCCACAGGCGCCGCCCAAGTAATGTTTTTCAAACTTCAGTTTAAGATCCATTGGTATATTGAGAAATGACAATTCAGTATAGAGTATAACCAACATAAAACAAAATATAAAATCTATAAATTTATAACATATGGTAAAGGTAAATAATGTCTCTTGAAATTTTTGTTGAGTCAAACATAAAACTATTCCCTACGTTGGATATGGCAAAAAAATGAAACATGTTGCACAACAAAATTCCCTTTTCCAAATTATTTAGATATTTTATAGCAAGCTATTTTGATTAAGTTTTTGCTTTCATAAATCTCATTCTTCCTAATTAAGAATGCCTTGTTACCTCATACCTACACATTAATTAAGACTTTGAATGCAGCCTTACACTCATCTGTTGGGTAATACAGAGTGGGTGTTGCTGGGCTGAGTTCCCACAGTTTTTTTTTGTGTGCCTGTTAACTTTTAAACTCCTCTGATGCCTTAAGTTAATGACTAATAAGAGCTAGAACTTGAATGTAGTATAACTAGACATAATATATTATTTGCTAACTCAATCATCAAACTTGGTTTTAAAAAATGTATTTTCCTCATTTTTTCCCTCATTCTCACTTGTTTTTTAGAGTCACATAATAAAAGTACATTTATGACTAATTAAATGTATTAGTTAACACATACTCCTTTTTCTAATAATTTTCTTACATCTAAATATTTTTCCATTGGATTCTTCTAGTTTTACCTGAATTTTATTTACTTTGTTGTAATAAACATACGGGGTTATTATATTGCTTAATATCACTTGCTTTTGTGGGTCACAATCACAATCACAATTACATTTTTATCTAAGTGTAACAATTTTGTATTGTTATAATAAAGAATAGGCTTATTTTGAAGTTTTATTAAACTTTATGTGAGAAGTTTATAGAATGTGGGGTAAGCGGTCATTATATTCTTCTACTAAATACCTCTCTTTTAGGCAAGAAAGAAAACCATGTAAATCTTATCAGGTTTGGAAATATTTCAACTAGAGAATCAGGATAACCTATCTTTTGCTCTTTAAAAATAATAAGTCAAAGCTGGGTATAGTGGCATGTGCCTATAGTTCTAGCTACATAGGAGGCTAAGGTGGGAGGATTGAATGAGGATAGGAGTTCAAGGCCAGACTGAGCAGTGTAGTGAGACTTTGTCTGTCTTCACACACACACACACACACACACACACACACAAACAAACTGGGTGTGGTGGCTCATGCCTGTAATCCCTGTCTCTAGTAAAAATAGAAAAACTATCGGGGAATTGTGGTGGGTGCCTGTTGACCAAGTAACTTGGGAAGCTGAGGCATGAGGATCACTAGAGTCCAAGAGTTTGAGGTTGCTGTGAGCTATGATGATACTATAGCAGTCCACCCAGGGCTACAGAGTGAGACTCTGTCTCAAAAAAAAAAGGTCTGTGTTTGCCTTGGGCTGACAAAATTCAAGTTATGATATCTTTGGTTTATCCTCCATATTGTATACACAGTAAAATGTGACTATTAACGTTTTTTTAAAAAAATCACACAAAATTGATAGTTTTTCCTATGCTGGGACGTTGACCTCATAATAGAATAAGTTATTATTGACACTCCATTATTTTTACTTACGTGTTTCTATGAATAACTCTCATTCTTTCTCCTGTCACAATCATGTGATCTGTTGGGAGAGGCTGGCTAACGAATTAATGTTTAATAGTCTGAAAAAAATGTTGTATCTTAATACATTAACTGGAAAACTTATCATTAGCTATTATCGTGACAACGGAACTTTACCTTGAACAGTCACCGTTTGACAAAGGACAAAGGACAGGCTATTGTTCGTGTCCCTCTCCGACCCCGTTTGTTAGGTTTTCCTAAGGAATGACAGACCCGTGGTGGTGTCTTAGTCACTTCCCTTTCCTGTCTTGTACTGCTTGCTCAAACAATTTCCAATATGTTTTTCTACTTCGCTTTTCTAAAATCGTAAAATTAACTTGTAGCCGAAGGTGGTCTTGAATTCCTCTGGTTCACTTGCTGTATTTTGTAAATGATGAAACTGAGACTTAGAGAGCTTTAGTGATTTGGTTGATATTATTCAGCTGCTGAGGGGAGCGGCATAGACCTACCTCATAGGTACAAGGAACGCTCTTCAGATAATCAGCAGACAAACAGCCCTGAATTAAGCATTATAAAAGCTAGCCACATAATAAAAAATTTTGTAACCTCTTAATATTATGAAATAATTAAAAAAACTTCAAAGGGAGTATCTTAGTTTCCTCTTTTTTTTTTTTTTTAAGATAGAGTCTTATTATGTCACCCTTGGTAGAGTGCTGTGTCACAGCTTACAGCATTCTCAAACTCTTGGGCTTAAGCGATTCTCCTGCTTCAGCCTCCCAAGTAGCTGGGACTACAGGCGCCCCCCACAAGGCCTGGCTATTTTTTTTGTTGCAGTTGTCATTGTCGTTTAGCAGGCCTGGGCTGAGTTCGAACTTGCCTGCCTCCATGTATGTGGCCGGCGCCCTAACCACTAAACTACGGGCACCAAGCCCATTTCCTCATTTTTTGGGGGTAAGGAAATGGAAGCTTAAGCAATTGGCCCAAAGTCTCATAGTTGGTAATTGGTAAAGCTGAGATTCAAACCTAGGTCAAACTTCACACATCACATTCTTTTTTATTATGTAGTTTGAGAATATGGTTAGAAAAGGAGTCATTATCCAGAACTATAGCCTTGTGGTGTTAAGACTTTTATATTTCACTTAAATTACATCTTATAATAAGGTGCTTTTTATCTTCTGTTTGAGATGGCAGATCCTGAATTTACCCTTGGTGCCTTCACACTTCTGTTACTCATTAGTTCTGTGGCTAATTATCCCAATGGAAAAGTGACAGAGTCATGTCACGGAATGATGCCTCTACATGGCTATGATCCACAGTCTGGTCCCGTTCACAGCATTTCAGTGAGTCAGATGACATTCAGACCAGGAGATCAGATCCAAGGTACTGTGCTGGAATGAATTTATTTGCATTTTGAGTTTCACTTTTTAACTGTTCATTAGAGCTCTATTATTATTAGATTTGGACTGTTTCATTTAAATCTGTTCACTTGTTTTTGTATGTCATCTTATACATCCTATGTTTTCTTTTCTTTTTTGGGGGAAGAAACTTTACCAATTTGTTTATTATAAGTGAATATGTTCTTATGAAGGACCAGAATAGCTTTTTTCCATGTCCTGAAGTTAAATTAAGTGATCTATGAATATCTTTCTATCTGACAATTCAGGAGTTACTATTTTTTGTTTGTTTTTGTTGTTTGAGAAAGAGTCTCACTCTGTTTTGCCCTGGAGAGAGTGCCATAGTGTCATAGCTCACAGCAGCCTCAAAGTCTTGAGCAATTCTCTTGCCTCAGCCTCCCAAATATCTGGGACTATTGGTGCCCACCACAACACCCAGCTAGCTTTTCTGTTTTTAGTACAGACAAGGTCTTGCTCTTGCTCAGGCCTGTCTTGAACTCCTGACCTCAATCAATCCATTCACCTGAGCCTCCCAGAGTGCTAGGATTGTAGGCATGAGCCATGGCCTGGCCAGGGGGTTACTATCTTGATGAAAAATCTTATTATTTTTTTCCTTAACTATTACAGATGACTGTATTACTTAAGTTGTATGTAAATTTGTTCAGAAATCCATTCAGAACAAGTTTTAAAATAAGTTTTATCATTATTTAATAGATATTTATTTATTTTGTGGCCAGGGCTGGGTTTGAACCCACCACCCTTGGTATATGAGGCTGGTGCCCTACCTACTAAGCCACAGGTGCTGCCCCTTTCCTTCCCCTCTCCTCCCCTCCCCTCCCCTCCCCTCCTCTCAGCTGGGTTTGAACCCGCCACCTCCAGCATATGGGGCTGGCGCCCTACTCCTTTGAGCCACAGGCACCTCTTTCTTCCTTCCCTTCCCTTTCCTTTCTTTCTTTTTCTTTCCCTCTCTCTTTCTTTTCTTTTCTTTTTTTTATAACTTTTAAAAATTTTTTTGTTTTTGGCTAGAGCTGGGTTTGAACCCGCCACCTCCGGCATATGGGGCCGGCGCCCTACTCCTTTGAGCCATGGCGCCGCTCCTCCCTCTCTCTTTCTTGTGAGACAGAGTCTCATTTTGTCACCTCAGTAGAGTACCATAGTGACACAGCTCACAGAAACTTCAAACTCTTGGGCTCAAGCGATTCTCTTGCCTCAGCCTCTGTAGTAGCTCGGACTACAGGTGCTTGCCACAATACCTGGCTAGTTTTAGAGATAGGGTCTCCCTCTAGCTTATGCTGGTCTTGCACTTCTGAGCTCAGGCAAGCCATCCACCTCGGCCTCCTAGAGTGCTAGGGTTATAGGTGTGAGCCACTGCTTCCGGTCCATAGTGTTTTAGAATTTCTTTGTCTATAGGATGATTTCTACTCTTCTCTCCAGGAGTGGTTTTGCATACGTACACTTGATTCTAGCTGTGATGTACCTCCTCTAAACATTTCTCTATGCGTTCCTTTTTGGGTTGTTGCTAAATCTGTTAACCAATGTGTTTCTCAGTTACTTTGTCAGGGCCACCATTTAAAGGCTTTCTCCTAGAAGCTCGTAATGCTGAAGATTTGAATGGTCATCCTGTTGGCTCCTTCACACTGATAGACAGTCAAGTGTCACAACTTTTGACCTGTGAAGACATACAGGTTTGTGTTTACAGTTGACCCTTGAACAATGCAGGGGTTGGGGCGCTGACCCCCCGTGCCCTGCCCCCATCCCTGGTTGAAAATCTGCATGTAACTGTAACTTTTGACTCCTCCTAAAACTTAACTATTCATAGTCTACTCCTGATGGGAAACCCTACCCGTAACATAAACAGTCTATTAAAGCATATTTTGTATGTTGTATGTATTACATACTATATGAATGCTCTTATAAGCTAGAGAAAATGAAATGTTATTACAAAAATCATAAGAAAGAGAAAATATTAAGTGGAAGTGGATCACCGGAGAGGTCTTCATTCTTGTCTTCACTTTGAATGGGCTGCAGAGGAAGAGGAGGGAGCTGGTCTTGTTGTCTCAGGGTAGAAGAGATGGAGGAGGCACGGAGGCAGGCACACAGTGTAACTTTGCAGAAGTATATCCTCGTTTCTGCCTGACGTTTTTGTTTCTCAAAAAATGTTGCTATACGGTACCCATCCTTCTCACTTTAGTGTCAGTGCCAGTATCACAGAAGGGTCCGTTGCAGAAGAAGTCAAAGTCGTCTTGCATCAGCAGCACCCTGTGCTGGCTTGTCCAGTGTCAGTCTGTTTTCTGGCTCTGCTTCTCCATCGTCTTCTTCCTCACTGTCTGGCCCTGCCTAGGGAGCTCTTGTTGTGCTCAGGTTCGGGGGTGGTTGGAGACACAGAGAACAGGCTTGCAATTGAATAGTATAGAGACAAAGAACGGCTACCACTTTAAGATGGCGAGTAGCAAACTTCTTTATTCCTTGCTGGTTTAACTAACCAGCTCTGCACGTACACACTGTCAATCAACAATCCTTCCATTACTTTAGTGACATACAGTAAAAAACAAATTAACCTTAACTTAGTGCCTGCTAGTCTCCTGATCACAACAATACTCATTCTTTCACATCATCCATTGTACTAGAAATACCAATCCAGGAAAAACATGTTGACTTTTCTTTTTCGCCTATAAGCTCTCATCTCCATCAAGATGTCTTCTGCTAAATCTGCAGTGTGGTATCTATTAGCTCTTGAATATCTCCAGATCCAGGTCTTAAAATTCTGATTCTTGATAGGTAGGGAAACTCCTTTGGGGGAAAGGACTGATTAATCACCCACTCTACAAGCCCTGAGCCATCTGGAGGCAGTAACTGAAAGTCTTGCAAAACCACAACCCCGAGGTTCCAAAAGTGTACCGATTATGCGCCTACGGGCACCTGTCTCCCTGGTCCCTGCTCAGCACAGAAGAATGTCCCTCCAGCTCAGGCAAAGGCCGTAGTGGGATTGTACCTCAGAGTCTCCTAGATTGTAGAAAAACATGACTTTTATTCCTGCTCACTCTCAGAGGCAAAAAGGCACAAGCATATAGCCTTTTTCACCAATAAGCTCTCATCTCCGTCAAGATGTCTTCTGCTAAATCCTGCAGTGTGATGTCTATTAGCTCTTGAATACCTCCAGATCCATGTCCTAAAATTCTTTTACCCTCATCCCCCACCCTTTTTTTTTTGGTATCCACTATCTCTTTGATGACTTCCTTGATTGGCTTTGTTGTAAGAGCTGTGAAGTCATGAGCAACATCTGGACACATTTTTTTTTTTTTTTTTTTTGGTCCAGCTGGAATTTATTGTTTTGGGCTTGATGGTGTTCACAACTTTTTCTGTAACAACTGTATCTTCTTCTCTTCTCTCCTCTCCTCTCCTCTCCTCTCCTCTCCTCTCCTCTCCCCTCCCCTCCCTTCTCTTCTCTTCCTTCCTTTCTTTCTTTCTTTTTGTCTGTCTCATGATGTCACCCTCAGTAGAGTGCTGTGGCGTCATAGCTTACCTCAAACTCGGGCTTAAGTGATTCTTTTGCTTCAGCCTACTAAGTAGCTGGAACTGCAGGCGCCCGCCACAATGCCTGGCTATTTTTTGTTGGTAGTTGTCACTGTTGTTTGGCAGGCCCAGGTTGGATTTGAACCCTTTAGCTCTGGTGTACATGGCTCCTTGCAGACTTGTGTGATGTTCTGTCTATCAAAATTCTCTTCCATAGCGCTGACAGTCCTGTCCACAGAGTTCCATGTGTAGTGAGCCTGAAGGTCCTTATGACCAGGGATCTGTAGGCTGAATTAGAGACACTGTGTCCAGGACAAGTCAACAACTCTATACCTTTGGTGTTGGAATCATGGGGTTCTGGGTGACCGGGGGCATTGGCTAATATCAAAAGAACTTTAATTTTAATTTTTATTCTTTTTGAGACAGAGTCTCACTCTGTTGTAATGGGTATAGTAATATAGCATCATAGCTTACAGCAACCTCTTGGGCCTGGCTAGCTGTGACTACAGGTGCCTGCTACAAGGCCTGGCTATTTTATTTTTTATTTTTAGTAAAGAGGGAGTCTCAGCCTTGCTCAGACTGGTCTCAGACTCCTGAGCTCAAGCCATCCACCTGCCTAATCCAGAGTGCTAGGATTACAGGTGTGAGCCACTGTGCCTTTTATACTAGACTTGTGTATATTTTGTGGTAGTAAATGATAAAAGAGACCAGTATCTACGTATCTCTTATGCGTTCATCACATACCTCACTTTTTCTTAATGTTTCCAATATTTGTATACTATGCAGTTCACAAATCTCTAATTTTTTTTTCAATATATTCATTGAAAATAAATCAACAGGCCGGGTGCGGTGGCTCACACCTATAATCCTAGCACTCTGGGAGGTTGAGATGGGTGGATTCCTTGAGCTCACAAGTTTGAGACCAGCCTGAGCAAGAGCAAGACCTCGTCTCTAAAACTAGCTGTGCATCTCCCAGCTACTTGGGAGGCTGAGGCAAGAAGAGGGCTTGAGTTTGAGTTTGCTGTGAGTTGTGATGATACACAGCAATCTACCAAGGGCGACAAAGCAAGACTCTGTCTCCCACCCCCTCCAAAAAGAGAAGAAAATAAATCCACATCTGAGTAGACCCGTGCAGTTCAAACCCACGTCGTGCGGGGCCAGCGGTGTTTGTAATGGCTGCTTTTCAGCTTTCTTTTGGTCTTTTCACTGCAGAATGGTAGTTGCAAGATGAATAGTGACATTAAACTCGTGTTGTAGACATTTAGATAAATTCACAATGCTCAGACTTTTCTCTTAATTTTATTACTTGTGTATGTTTTTACACAGCATTCTAGAAAAGGTAGGGCAGTAGTTTGAAGAGTTTACAACTTGTGATGTTTTATAGCATATTGGCTCTTACACTAATTTTTAAAGGGTTTTAATATTAAACCTCTAGTTCTAGAATGTGACAGGTCTAATTTTTGTCATTCATTTATTTATTCATCCATTTAATCTATCTATCTGCAAACTGCCCTGGATGTGAGGGCCGTGGATATAGCAAGATTTACTCTTATTCTTTGAAGAACTCCTAACGTTATAGTTAAATAGAACATCTGGACATAGGACGGCCACATGCACAGAACAGTGTGATAACTTTGGTTAGAAGCATACACAGGATGGAGGGAATTGGGGGAGAATTTCTTGGAAGAGATGATCTTCAAAAGAGGCCTCAAAGAATGAGCAGGAGTTTGCCAGGTGCGTGAAAACAGGCCACAGGATTGTTCAAGAGCAAAGAATTACTAAAATATGCTCCATGTTTGGAGGCATGACGAACCTTTTTCATTTGATGAATCTTCTGCTTTATATTTGTATCTATAAACTTATAGTGTAAATAAAATAATGGGCAGGCTCTATCTAGTATTAACATATCCAATACTCCTGACTCTCTTCAGTTCTTAAATTTCTGCTGACTCTAATTTATTCACAGAGCCAGCTGCTAATCTGTGGTTAGCCCATCAACACGTTATAATTGAGTATTTGAGTCCGTGTTGTAAATAAAGTGGTCGCCACCAGAATGCCAGGGTCGTGCATTGATAAATTACTTTACAAAATGATAGCAGTTGCAGCCATGGTGAGCTGTCGAGTGACTGAATGTGGTTTTATTTTCTTTTTATTTCAGGGATCAGCAGTGAGTCATACAAGTCCATCCAAAAAAACAGAAATTAAAGTCTACTGGAAGGCTCCGAGCGGTGCTCCTAATCACATACAGTTTCTGTGAGTAAAAGAGTTTACAACTCTAACTAGTGCCATTGAGCTCATAGTAGCTTGTCATACCCTCATTTACTGGATGTTCACCTGTGTGAATGTAGCAAGATACCCCCTCGCTGATGCTCTTTTGTTTGTGTTTTTTCCCCATCGGTATATACCCAGCGCCCAGCCCAGGACCTGACACCTAACAGGCGTTTAATAGATATTTGTAGAGTGAATGAAGTATTGTGCTGCCTTAACACTAATGAGAGCCATCAGCTAATACTTAAAAAGCCATCAGTCTTTTTGAGTGAGAATACAAATTTGGCTGACTTCTTGCTGTTACGACTTGCAGATTAGATTGTCAGAAAAGTAGGGCCCTGCATGTTCGTAAGAGTCGTGAAAGTCAGTAGAATTAAAATAGCACCCTTCATTACTCGTACGTGCAAGGGAATATCATAAAGCCATATAATGATTCCTGGGGGGTGTTACAGAAATATATTTTAAGGCTAGGATTTCTGTCTGTCTCTGATTTCTGATTCACTTTGCATGCAGGTCCCCAGCACACAGTAACGCAGCTTGGCACCTGTGTATTAGGTAGACGTGCAGCAGTGGTGCTGAGCCGATGCCTATTTATGCAGCCTCTATGTAGCTTCCCATTACAAGTGTCTGCCGCACATGCCCTTTGGAAGAATTCGGATAGTTCACTGTGAAACGAGTGGTAGCATGTTCTTTATCAGCGTATGCCATGGAGTAGAAATCTGTGCAGTTTAGTCTCTGGGTCTGGCATTCAGGGCTGTTGTGAATATGCCCAAAGACCAGACAAGCAAGGAAAGAGAGGGCTAGAGGAAGAGAAAAGATCATCCAGAGATGGGGCAGAAGAGAGTCCTTAGAAATGTGCTTGAGACAAAATCAGTATACTGTTAACTACTCAGTCACGTGATTCTAGTTGATTTCCTTTTTTTCTCCTTTAAAGTTTTGATTTGATTGTGCTGGGCCATAATCAGGGTTCTAATCTTGCTGGTATTGCATCTCAGAGCCACAGTTGTTGAGAAGTATAAAATCTACTGGGTGAAGATTCCTAGTCCCGTAATTTCACAGCCAAATGCACTTCCTTTTACAACACCTCCAGCGACCACAGCACCATCTTTGCCAGTGTCGCCTCCAGTTTCCCGTTTAACTAAATCCGTAAGTAACATTTTAACTAGCATTTACTAAATGCAATCTAAAATAACACGTAATCAAATACAATGCTCATATATTGTAAAATGTAGCAGAGAAGAAAAAGAAATAAGACGTTCCATAAAAGTAAATTTGCTTTACTTACTTTTTTTTTTTTTTTTTTTTTGGGTCTGGGCTGGGTTTGAACCCGCCACCTCTGGCATATGGGGCCGGCACCTTCCTCCTTTGAGCCACAAGAGGTGCACCCGTATCTGTGTTTGGAAATTGTGATTCTGAGCTTGGCAAAGTGCAAAGATAACTAGCTATACTGGGTCATGATAGCAAGTTTTTGGGTTCTCTATAGGAATCTGAAGGAAGTTCTCATCACAACATTTATGAGTTCAAGGTTACAGGAAAGGGAATTCAAGACCCTACATGTTCAAGGTGTGTGTGGTTATGACATTCATATGTAGTCTGTACTGGTAGTGGATATATTTTTATTTGAAAGTAAATCTGATGAAATAACAAATTTCTCTCTTTCATAACAGCCAAATGTCAGAGAGATAGAGAGAGAGAGAGAGATATTATGGTAAATATAGATAAGATTTGGAGGAGATTCTTGAAGTAGTGATATTACTTTTAGGTGTTATTTCATTCAGGTCAAAGAGTACTAGGAAACTCTGTATGCTGAACCAAAGAAAATCTCTTGCAAAGTCATAAGGTAGAATTCCATTTAGACCCTGTGAATTAAAAGAGTGAAGATTGACAGACGGCACCTGTGGCTCTGTGAATAGGGCTCTGGCCCCATATACCCAGGGTGGTGGGTTCAAACCCAGCCCCGGCCAAACTGCAACAAAAAAATAGCCGGGCATTGTAGCAGACACCCGTAGTCCCAGCTCCTCGGGAGGCTGAGGCAAGGGAATCACCTAAGCCCAGGAGTTGGAGGTTGCTGTGAGCTGTGACACCATGGCACTCTACTGAGGGTTAATAAGTGAAACTGTCTCAAAAAAAAAAAAAAGAAAGAATTAAGATTGACAAAACATATCTTGGAAAGGGTCTGGCATGTTAGAAGCATTAGGAAGAAGAGTTTTACTGCAGGAAATTCTGATAAATTAGAGATCGTAATTCACAAATGGATATAATGAAAAGTGTCTTGGGACAGGTTGTTACAGTTCAAAGAACAAATGTGGGCCTGAAGACCGACTTGTCTAATTTCTGTGTGTCTTTGGACAGATTACTTAATTTTCAGCTTCAATTTATTCACCAATAGAATCAGGAATAATAATATTACTCTTAGTGTAACTGTCAGAATTAAAATAATGAAGGGAAATTTTCTAACTGTGCCTTGCACTTAATATTCAGTAAACATTAGTTCCTTTTCTTTTTTCTTCTTTCTATTATCTTTTGGTACTTCTTTGTCCACATAGGGGAGGCTAAGTAAAGCGCTTTGCTTCTGTAAAATGTCTTGTTTTATTTTCTTTCTCTTCACAATTTTTAATGTATTTGATCACATTGTTATGAATGCTGTACTTTTGTCTGATGATACAATTAGATCTACTATTTGTACTAGCTCTCAGTTTAGTCTTAATGCTTATTTAATTCAAATCTGCTTTAGGGGAATAAATAGTTTGGACCTGAGTTTCCCAGTAGAAATTGACTGACCATATCATTGTCTCTCCATATATTCACATAAAAGGCATTAGCTCTTACAGAGCTTTTCTTGTGTCTCTGTGCCAAGTTATAATCTGTAATTATAGGTTCATTCAGAGTCATACGATTATAGCATTTTTAGAGCTAAAAAAAAGACACCTCAGGGTCTTTTACCAAGGGTCTTTTTCTTTTAGTTTTTCTGTTAGATAATTGAAAGTAAAGGGATCCCAGGAGAATAAATTCTTTGGCAACTGTGGTGGAATAAAGAATACCCCAGGGACAAAAATTCCCTAGTTCCTAGTGGTTTGTTTTCTTCATTCTATGAATTGTCCATAATTTCCATTAAATCCAGTTATATAATGTTTAGCTCTCTTCTAAGATACCCTGTCACTGTCCATTCTAACAGGGGCCACCCGTTCTTTCACCAAATTGTAGACCCGATGCTTTTTAAGACTCTTCCTCTTATGTTCCTTATCAAGAAGCTCTGGATTAAATCACTGTAGATTGTTATTTCCCCTTCCGCTAAATCATTACTATTATTTGGAATGGTGGTTATATATCCCTGTAGCCGTTTTTTCTTATGTTATTTCAGTATCATATTTGAATCCGAATTCTAGAAGCAGAATCCAAAAATCTAAATATAATGACCTGAAAGGTTTGTTTGCGTTTTTAACATTTCACCTTAGAGAACTGAAGGAAATGCTTTGTGCAAGAATGTCAATGTCAATTAAGTGTTAGGGACTTAAATATTCCCTAAAAAGTCTCTCAATAGTTACCAGAAACTTTGCTCCAGGACATACTGAATGTGAAATGTTGTGTGTATTCAAGAAACTTTAATACTCTTGCACAATTACAGTCCAATTCCTGTTAGTTTTCCAAATTTTCATTAAAATTAATTAAACGTAAAAGTTCACGACCTAACTATTGCTTTGATCATTTCTAGGTTAGGATGTGTCTGTTGTTTTCTTATTTGCATCCTTATTATGAAAAAGTATTCTCATTAAAACCCGTACTTGAAGATAGTGGCTCTTCTGTCATTGACAATGAACCGCCTCTTTGATAATTAAGATTTTTTTTCCCCCTGTCATTTTTCTAGTTCAGTGCCTCCGACTGTGGGAACAAGAAGTTCTGTATTCGGAGTCCTTTGAACTGTGACCCAGAGAAGGAGGCTGGCTGTGTCTTCTTGTCCTTCACAAGAGACGACCAATCAGTGATGGTTGAAATGAGCGGTCCCAGTAAAGGCTATTTATCCTTTGCGCTGTCTCACGACCGATGGATGGTTTGTACCTCTCACTTGCCTACGTGGTAATCAAAGGACAATCAGTGAACTGAGCTCTAATCAACGGTAGATTAGCTTTTTGTTTCAGAGTCAAATGATCACAATTAAGAGTAGAACGAGAAAAGGAGTCACTAACTTAGAACAGATTCCAAGTGAAATGGTTTTGTATGATTTTAACAGTTAGGCAATTACAGACCTCCAAGAACAAGCTGCTCTAAGAAAAGTTAGCAAAATCATTTTATTTCTAGTAGATTTGCTGTTTTAGGTCTATCCATGTGATAAAGCAAGAAACTCAAGTTAAAAAAAAAGTTGCTCTGCGTACAATGTCCCATTTTGTGTAATGCTTTTCAAACCACAGTTGTTTACTCAAGCGGCCAGAGCTAAAGCATGCTTTCCTGATCTTGGCGTCTTGTTTCAGTAGTCATCAGTGCATTTTCCAAATAGAGAATCGAAGCTATATATCTAGGCGAAATGTTGTACAATGAGGTCCTTTGTCACATCTGCAGAAAAACACTTGTTTTAAGCAGATTCTCACTCCCCGGGTAGAGTTGGATGGATTAAATGACCCTGTAGGTGGCAGCCTTGTGCTGTGGTGTGGGAGAGCCGAGGGCTGGCAAGCATCCTGGTTTCCCAGGGAGCAGGAAGAGCACTGTGCCCAGGACAAGTGTTAAGTCTTGTTCAAACCGAGTTGCCACTGGGGAGCCTGGGATGACCACCAATGGAGAAAGCTCCTTGTTTCCACATTAGCAAAGGCAAAGAGTCTTTTGCTGAGAGCTTTCTTCCTATTTGGATTTCAACTTCCGACCACTTCTTTAGAAAATCACATTTCCAAAGTAGGAAGGGAAATCTGACACGGCTGTGATACAGGAAATAACACCTTCCCTTTAAGTGCACTCTTAGCTTGCAAGGATCCTAGCAAGCGGGCGTACATTTTTTTATTTTAGTGAAATGCCATTTCAGTATGTATATATGACCTACAGATTTTACTACATACCTCTACTATGCAATTGCTATCCTGTCATTAAACAAAGGATATACATCAAGTGTATGAGATATAAAATACATCATATGCTTTAAAAAATAACATATCAGACAGATAATAAATCTTACTCCTTCAGGGTTGTTTTTATGGGAAATTTTATACTTTCTCAGATGCTGCTGCAATTGCTCAGAACGCCCCCTCCCCCCCCATTTCCCTCTTGTAACTGCCGTCAGACCTGTAGTGTGTTCTTTTAAATGGTCTCAGTGCTGGGAAAAATGAATCAAGTTTGATGTAGAAAGTAAATAATGAGGCTGGGTTAAAAATAAAATGTGACCATGAAGCAATAATGAAAGGTGGTGGAAGGGCAGGTAGCTGTGGGAATGTGAGAACTGGCTATGAAGGAAATTCTGAAAATAAGTGTGGAAAGGATTCACTTGTTAAATACATGTAGAGATTCATTAGGGCACATCTCTGAGGTATAGCACTTATTTGGGTATACGCTCAAGTCATTTCAAAAAGTCCTGACTTGGCTGTCTGGTGGCTCACACCTGTAATCCTAGCACTCCGGGAGGCCAAGGCAGGTGGATTGCTTGAGCTCAGGAGTTTGAGACCAGCCTGAGAAAGAGCAAGACCCCTGTCTCTACTAAAAAAAATAGAAAAACCACTCAGGCATCATGGTGAGCACCTGTAGTCCCATCTACTCAGGAGGCTGAGGCAAGAGGATCACTTGAGCCCAAGAGTTTGAGGTTGCTGTGAGCTATGATGCCAAGGCACTCTACCCAGGTGACAGAGTGAGACTTTATCTCAAAAAAGAAAAAAAATTCTGACTTACTCTAATCACTTTCCAGCCCAGATTTTTGCTAAAACATTTACTTCCACTGGTCACATAGAATCGATAAGCAGGAGGGAAAGACACTATGATGACCTTGAACGTGGTGATGAGTAGCCTACAGCTAGGCCAGTTATTTCTGTTCTAAATTGTAGGCATTGATGGCACAAAAGCATTTATCTCTAATTCGGGATGTATTTTTCTTACTTAGAAATCTTATCTGTTCCTAGTGTAGTACTCATCAAAAATGTTTATAAAAAAGACTTAATTATGCAGGTGTAGTTAATTTACAGAGCAATTCTTTTTAATGATTAAAATCATCCACACACCTGTTTGCCTAAATTGGGGGAAATGAATCATCCACAAAACGTATTTTTAAAGTGGTGATTTCTATTTTTGGTTGTTATTTTTAAAATTTGAGGTATTTTTATGGCCTGCTATTTCTTTTGAGTATATAATGTAAATTGAAATACTGAAGGCATCTGACGGTACAAATGCTGATTAGATAGCCCTAAATTATAGTTTTTTCCCAATTTGCCTTGTTAATTGATTATACCAATTGTTTTGGCACTAGACTTCATTACTAAAACTGATGGATTGTATAATTTCTGATATTTTGGCTAAAAATGACTTGCTACTGTCTGAATTTTAACTGAATTTCTTTTTTAAAAAATAGATTCTAAAAGTGTCCACTGTTACTATTTTTTTTTTTTTCTGAATTTCTAAGTATCCTAAGTCTTCACTTAATGTCCTTGATGGGGTCTTGGAAACTGTGACTTCAAGCAGAATAATGGAGAGCAGGTTTTCAATAACATAATTTCCCTCAACATCATTTTTTCTTTTTTGTCCCTCAATGCCCAGACTTGAAACTCTCAACATCATTTTGCTATAACATTATTGAGGGAAAAACTTGTTCTGTTACATGTCATTTTGCTTAAAGTCAAGGCTTCCAAGAAAGAACCCATCGACTAGTTTGAGTGAGGACTTATTGCACATACGTCTTCCGTATCTGAGATATTTTGTTACATAATATAAGGTCTTTCATCTTTAAAATCGCTAAATAGTAGCATCCATCTTTCTCCTTCCCCTGCCCCGTATCATCTTGTTCCACCCGGGATCCGTCAGTGCCCAAATTCTAGCATCTTCCCAGGCCTGAGCTCTCCTGGACGCTAGATGATGATTCCTGGCTGCCGCTGGTCTCGCCCAATTGAGTGCTCCTGGACGATACAAATCAACATCTATAAAACTGAAATTACTATCTTCCTTTCTGATGTCTCCTGTGTTCCCTTTCTTGGTGATTGGCAGCAATGTTAGAAAAGCAGCGGCTGTTATTGCCTGCTTCTGGTCAGGCATCGTCCTGGGCAATTCGTAGAACTTTCATTGCTGCTGCCATGCTACTTGATAGAGAAATTTTGATTGTGACTCAGATTCTTCCCTTCCATTCATTTCTCAGGTCCTTTTTCCATCTCTAACTATTTGTTTTGAAAAGTTTAAACCTACATGAAAGTTGAAAGAATAAACACCCATAAGCTCCTCGCCTAGTTTGTAAACACTTTAGCTTTCTCTCTCCTTCGGTCCGTATATCCACCTATAGCGTCCATTGCAATTGATTTATGTGGTGTATATAAATACTCCCTTTTCCCTAAACTATTTGAAAATGAATTGTATATATCATGATGTTTTACCCCTAAGGTTTTTAACGTGTATCCTAAGAACAAGGACATGCTTTAACAATTACCACAACATCTTTATCACATTAAGAAAATTAAACAATGATCTGATAATTTTATGGAATGTGTAGTCTATTTCCAATTTCCCCAATAAAGTCCTTTGTAGCCTTCTTAAAAAAAATTCTATCCTAGATCCAATAAATTATCATTGAGTTTAGTTGGTATATCTCTTTGATTTCCTTTACTTTAGTATAATTACCTACCTTTTTCCTTGCTTGTTTTTTCAGGCCACTATAATTTACAAAACAGATTTATGTTAAGATATTTGGCACAGATACTACATAAGAGATGTCATTTTCACAGTGTGTCATATCAAAAGTTGCATAATGTCAAATTGTTCTATTATTGATGATATTATGTTTGATCACTGGTGTCTGGCAGATTTCTCCAGTAGTCCCAGCTACTTGGGAGGCTGAGGCAAGAGAATCACCCAAGCCCAGGAGTTGAGATTGCTGTGAGCAGTGTGACAACACGGCACTCTACCAAGGGTGATAAAGTGAGACTCTGTCTCTAAAAAATAAATAAATAAATAAATAAATAGTTTGAGTGAAAGACCAAATTATATTGGCTCGCACCTGTAGTGCAGTGGTTATGGTGCCAGCAACATACATCAAGTCTAGTGGGTTCAAATCCAGCCCGGATCAGCTATACAACAATGACAGATGCAACAAAAAAAAGCTGGGCGTGGGGTGGGTGCCTATGTCCAAGCTACTTGGGAGACTGAGGCAAGTGAATCCCTTAAGCCCAAGAGAGTTTGAGGTTGCTGTGAGCTGTGATGCAACAGCACTCTACTGAGGGCGACATAGTAAAACTCTGTCTCAAAAAAAAAAAGAAAGACCAAATTATAGACAATTACTTAAAATCAAGATTATTCATTATTCTATTGTTTAAACATGTTTTGAAGTGACAGTCTGCCCTCTCATAGTTAACTTTAAAGACTAAGATCTGACTTTCAGAGTTAAGGAATATTAGTGACTAAAGGGTAGATAAGAAGTATACCCTCTGACAAACAATTCCCCTTGAGCTCAGATATTTTTGTTTTAACTATGTAATGTTAGATCTATTACGTGTGTACAGTCTGTAGCAATATTTGATTATAGTGTCTTCCATCTTAAATGTTACCAGAAATACCCAGTATAAGGCAGTGTATTCACAGTCACTATATGTAGGACATAGCTATTTATTTTCAAATAAGTATCTGGGACAATGTTCATGGTAAGGTAAGTGGAAAATAAGGTAACAGAACGGTGTATTTTCCTATCTGGGAAGGAGAAAATAGGTATGAATACAAATAGATTTAGATGAGTATACAGAAAGGCATAAAAGTGGCATTCAATTCGTGATTGATTCATGAGCGTAGGAACACGTTATATGTTGGTCTTATTTTATTCTGAAGTTTTAGTGATTTTATAAAACTGAAGTTGTATTATAACAAAAATTATCTTAAAAATTATCAGATTAAAGTGGTACCATAGCTGTGTTATTGTATTATAACAAAATTATTTTTAATTAAATTGGACAGTCAATTCTCTGGAATTCATAATATCATTCAAGATTGAGTCAGGAAATTATGAATGAAATGAAAATAATGAATGACATCATATTTAATTTCCTTAGGTATTTTTCTTTTTTAAAAAAAATGCTGAAATTCCTTAACATTTTTCATTGGAATTGTTTTTCAGGGTGATGATGATGCTTATCTGTGTGTCCGTGAAGATCAGACAGTGAACATACAGCCCTCCCATCTGACAGGGCGAAGTCACCCAGTGATGGACTCTAAGGTGGGTGTGAAAATCCTGGGACCCTCCACATGGCTGGTCCACTTGCCAGCTCTGTGGCTTCTCCAGCATGGTTTGCTGCAAGACAGTCTCCAGCCCCTGCAGTTACAGCCTAGCTTGAACCGGTGCCTGGCAGCAGGGGTCCTCGCACTAGGATCTCTGAGAAACTTTTCTACACTCTTATTTTACTTTATTTAATTTAATTAATTTATTTATTTGAGACAGATTCTCATTCTGTCAACCTGAGTAGAGTGCCATGGCATCATAACTCACAGCGACCTCAAACTCCTGGGTTCAAGCGATCCTCTTGCCTCAGCAAGTCCCCAAAGAGCTGGAACTACAGGCACCTGTCACAACACCCCTCTAGTTTTTCATTTTTAGTAGCGACGGGGTCTCACTCCTGCTCAGGCTGGTCTCAGAAGAGATGCACTCATCGTAGCTCCCAGAGTACTAGGATTATAGGCATGAGCCACCATGCCTATATTCTTTCTATTTTAGATAGCACATGACAAATTTCTCGAATTTTTCTTGTAGGAAAAGATGAATTCTTCCTTGTGTCATTTAAGCTCTTTTTGTTCCATCTTATGGAAAAGTATTTTATGATTTGTTAAGATAGAGCAGTAGGCCAATTTTAAAAGCTTATAGACAGGTTTGTGTTTGTTTTTTTGTATGTTTCTTTTGAGACAGGGTCTTGCTTTGTTGGCAGGCTGGAGGGCAGTGGCATCATTATAGCTTACTGCAACTTCAAACTCCCAGGCTTGAATAATCCTCCTGCCTCAGCCTCCTGCGCTAGGAGGATAGGCACACACCACCACACTTGGCTAAGTTTTGCAATTTTTTTGTAAAAGGGTTTTGCTGTGTTGCTGAGCTGTGTGAACTCCTGGCCTCATGGGCTGATCTCTGCCTCCTAATGCGCCGGGTCTTCAGGCAGAAGCCATCATGCTCAGCCCCAGACAAGTTTTCAGGAGACGACTTATGTTAGTGACAGAATTTCTTGATTAGTGAGAAGGAGGAACATTTGGCAAAGGCTGGTGCCTTGGGCAGTTGTCTTAAGTGCCCTTTGTTGGTGTCTGTGTCAAAGGCGGGCTATTTCAGGTAGAGGAACGTCTTTTCTACAGCAATGAAGGAGAGGTAGCTGTCACTTCATGACATAGCAAATGAGCTCTGACCGAACAGTAGCTAGCGCCTGATGACATAATTGTGCAGAGCTTTGACTCTCACAGCCGGCTTGGAACTTTCCCCGTTACACATGTTTTGGCTGTGGGGTATTACTGAGGGTCTCTTCAGTGTTTTCGCTAGTGCCCTAGTGGCCAAATGGAGTTAGTACATCTGCTGAAATTTCCAACCGGGGTTGAAGAATTGTGGGGTTCTGGCTCCAAGTAAAAATGCTATTTTTGCCAAGTGGGATAAAGACAAATAAACGGGGAAAAAATGTTTCTTGTACTCTTGAAAGAGGAAGTGGAAAAACAATGACACTGGAGGCAAAGCATCCACGTAATATCTTAGAAAAAGGAAATTGAACAGGGCAGGATTTTGATCATATCTTATTTTTAGTAAATATTTGGGAAGTGCTAAGAAGACTCATTGTGTGCGTTTGTAGGACACTCTTGAGGATATGGCGTGGAGGTTGGCGGATGGTGTCATGCAGTGTTCTTTCAGAAGAAACATTACCCTTCCTGGGGTTGAGAATAGATTTGATCTAAACACAAGCTACTACATATTTCTAGCAGGTGGCGTGGCTCATGGTGGTAAGTATATTGATAAAAGTGAACTTTTCAGGCTTTTTGTTCCTGTCTCTTCCTTCCTCCTCCCCTCCCCCCTCTTTTGGAAAGACTATTGTAATAAGGTACACACTTACGGGTAAGGAGTTATACATGGAACCCTTTTTCTATTTTTGCCTAAAAATTGAATTTTTGGTTGACTTTTTAGCTTTGCTTCTCTGGAAAGTAGGTAAAAGTAGAGTGTCACCCATGTCACAAGGCGGCATTGCAGATGGTCAGAATGGCTTCTGGTTGGTTGTATTGAGACCAGAAGATCTATAAATACCCTGCAAGAAGCTGTATCTTTGGGTTTCCCTGAATGTAGTGACGTTAGCATTGCAGGGACCCTAGACACTGTGCCTTTGGGGTTATTGCAAGAGACGGTGGCTCTTGTAGGAAAAGCTGCCCAATATGAATCTCATTTCCTTGCGCTTCCTCTAGGGAGGTGACAGGGGATAGGGTGACTATCTCTTGGATAGCTGAGTGAACTGCTATGTGACCTCCCACTGCAGGGAGAATGCCTCCCCCTACCCTGCTGGTGTGGTGTGTTTCCTGTCCTACATCTTTCTAAGTGAATGTGATGCCAGGTGCAGTCCAAGGTAGCTCTATATCTGAATGTTTAATTTATCCTTAAGAAGATTACACTGTGGATGCTGCAACACATTTTTTTTTTTTTTGAGACAAGAGTCTCAAGCTGTCGCTCTGGGTAGAGTGCTATGATGTCATAGCTCACAGCAACTTCCAACTCTTGGGCTCAAGCGATCCTCTTGTCTTCAGTTTCAGAGATCCTTTCTTCTGCCTGGTCAACTTTATTACTGAGGGATTCTACTGTATTTTGGAGCTCCTCAATTAACTTTTTTGTTTCCTTGAGCTCTGCAATCTCTTTTCTCATTATGTCCATATCTTTGGTGACTTGGGCTTTGAATTCATTAATTTCTTGAGACAACTTTAGAACTACTCTTTGGAAGTCAATTTCTATCTTTTCTTCCATTCTATTTATCTTGTCCATATTCTGAATTCGATTTCTGACATTGCTGCCATTTGTCTATGCATGGCGTCTTCAGTTGCATCTCCTTTGTCATTTCTTGGGGGGGAGGTGTTGATCTACTCTGGTTATTCCTGTTGCCAGAGTTCTTCACCATGTTTATTTTCCACCATTTGGTTATTAGAACTGGTAGGGAGACCGAGTTGAGGTTCCCAGGTAGTAGAGACAGCCCCTTACCAGAGCGCTAGGCTTTGTAATTGTGGCTTATTTCCTATAACCTTACAAAGGCCCCTTTCAGAGTTTCAGCCAGAGACTCTGATCACCTACTTGGCAAGATAGCTCAAGGTAGCTCAGCCTTGATATCAACCAACCTCTACCCTATCCTAAAAACCACAGTATTAGGTTTAAATCTCAACGTGAAGAGGTACAAACAGCTGCAGCACCCAGCCCCCACCCTTCAGATCTTTTCTACCACAGAACTTCGAAGGTCAACCTCAGGATGTCCCCAAGTAGACAGCCCCAGACATGGGCTCCAACCAAATTATCTCAGGCAGTGTAAACCTTGCCCAACCGAGAGGGATTCAAGGGTCTCTAGCAGCACAATTGGAGTCAGGGATCCACGCCCACCAGACTCAGTTTACACTGCTGTCTGCTTCTCTGTCACAGGACCAGCTGGAGCCAGGGGCCATCCCCCTACCCACCGGTCTCATTCCACATCTAGCTAGCCTCTGCTTGCCACACCCGTTGGAGTCAGGGGACCATGCCCCAGCCTGCCAGTCTTAGTCCACTGCCTGGCAAACTTCTGTTCACAGGCTCTGTTAGAGTCAGAGCACTGCACTCCACCTGCACTCCACCAGCAGGTCTCAGTCCTCCCCTGGTAAGCCTCTGCTCACCACGCCCTAGCCCTCAGGTCTTGGTTCACACCCAGTAAGCCACTGCTTGAGGGTTCTGGAATCAGGAGACCACACTCTTGCTCTCAGGTCACAGTCCACGCCTATTAAGCCTCTGCTTACAGGCCCAGCAGGGGCTGGGGACCAGCCCTGTCTGCCAAACTCAGTCAACACAGGGCAATCATTCTTCCGCTGTGGGTGCCATCAGAGCCAGGGGTTCTGCACCCTGTCCCACCAGACACAGCCGGAACTGATGGTCAACACTACCACTGGCCAGGCAAAGTCAACCAGGGGGCTGCTCCTCCTCCTGCCAAGTGTCCCTTTCTTCCCACACCCTCTTTCTTCCCTGTTAGTCACAGATTCGGTCCTGATGGTTGGCGGTCCACACAATACCCAGTTCTCTTAGGAAAAGACCAAATACTCTGTGCTCTGCAGGGGGCCGAACTTTAGACCGCCATGTGAGGGGGAAAGGGTGGTGTGGAAGTTTGGACTTGTGGGGAAAAATACCTGTTCAATTTTATGCCTGGCGAGGTGGTGTCTAGGTTCGTAAGTGGGATCTCCCTGGAGAAAGAGACCTGGAGTTTAGGGGCTCTCTCCAGCGAGGTAAAATGAGAGGTCTTTTGTTCCCTGCTCATTCATAGACAGGCTGCAGCAGCCCTCCTGTTTGGGAGAAGGGTCTCCTGTCCTCTAGTTGATAAGCTTTGTACCTGTAATTTGTTTTCTTGGATGCCCTTCCTTGGAGTTACAGGTTGCAGAACTACTTTCTTGTCTCAGCTCCTCATCTGTGGTTTCATAGAGTCCACTTCCGTCCAGTAAGTCTTCCTCTGCTCAGGAGCCTCTGCTGAGGGTTGCTACCAGTCGGCCATCTTCCCAGAATTCCCACAAACAATGTTTTATGCGGTAGTTCTAACACTCCCTAGTAGACCCTAGTGAATGGGTGATAGGTGTGAAGAGCACGCATCTATTTCCTTTGCCTGTTGGTGTTGTTGCACGGGAGGGAGAATATCTACCTCATCATTTGTGGTGTTTCTGGAAGTGTAGGGCTCAGACAATCAGCTTCAGAACCACCTGGAATGATGGGTAGCAAGGCAGATTTTTTTTTTCTCTTAACAATTTCTTTTGTTTAATAACAACTGTATACATTAATGCACTAACAATGCAGATTTCTGAGCTCCACCTCAGACCCAGGGGATCCTTCCCTGGTGCCTGAAATCTGATTTCTGTACTTGGTAACTTACTGCTGATAAGTTATCAGTAAGTTCTGATAACTTACTGCTTGAGGGAGGGATTTTCCCAACGAAGGTGAGCACATTGCAAGGCGGTCCAGGGAATACGGCAAACTACAGTATTAGAATTTTCTTTAGATTTATTTTTATCTCATTAAAATTTTTGTTTTACTATATTTTATGGTATATATGATCTATTAAAACAATAATACAAATACACATACACTAAGTGTGCCTGTTCATTTTTTTAAACTGATGGAATGCAAAACAGACAGAAAAGAAATACCCCCAAAGACAAACCTGGAGATCGCTATGCCAGGAAATTCATTTTCCAGCTCATTTGTACTGGGAAACAAAGGACAAACCACATAAATCATTGTCTCATCTATACTTGGTCATATGTATGTGAACTCTGCTTAAAAACAGTCTTTGTCAGGTTTAAGCCAATTTTCAGAGTAATCATATCTCCACGACCCATATAAATGTAAAACAGGCCCAATTTCAGTAAAATCGCACAAAGATCTATTCATTTAAAACCTTTTTCTCACCACTGTTTCCCCCAGAATGCTGACAGTGTCCTATTTTGGGATAAGCGAATGTGAAATGCTGAGTTTTAAAGTGAAGGATGGAAATCACTTGGGCCAGGAGGTAATTCATAATGAGGAAATCTAGCAATTTCAGTAATTAATGAAGCAGAGACTGTTATCAAATGACCTAAGCAGACACTGTTACCAGATGACCTGTTATTTAAACAATTTAGGAGTATTACAGGTCACATAATAGCAGAGTCCTGTACTAAGCATGAACTCCCTTAAGGAGCCCTGCAAAATGATAGCAGAACCATGCCGTGGAGCTCTGAGAATTCTAACGGTCTTCTGCTTTCATGGAGGTTAAGTTCATGCTCAGTGCACGGCTCTGTGGTGATTCAGAGTTTAAACACACTTCTCTTCCAGGTTCTCTCTCGGGCTCCCTGGGGTCGTGATCTCTTTTTCATCACTACCCCTCTACTAACACAGGATTTTTAGCTTCTTCAATGTCTTTCTTGTCATTTTGATATTTTTCTTCATTGTTTTCTTTTTGACACTTTTGTAGCTCCTGGCAGTTATTGTCTCTTCTTGACATTCTTCTCTCTTGGCATTTATTACATAAAACTCTTCTTGTTTTCTGCCTTATAACAAGACCTGGTATGATAGTATTTCCGAGGAGTCCTGACATCATTTTTTGAATAGTCCATTTTTCCCCCTCCATTGCTTCAAAAGCTTCTTTATCATACACTAGAACATATCAATAAATTGAACTGTTTCTAGTTTGTCTGTTTTTCTATTAATCTATTTGACTATTTTGCACTAGCTGGGATTACTGTGGCTTCTTAATAGATTGGAAATTTTGATAAAACAACATTCCCCTTCTGACTTTCTTTTTCAAGGTTTTTTTTTTTTTTTTTTTCCTGCCTTTGTGTGTATCTGATCTTTTAGATGAATTTTAGCTGTGATTTGTCGAATTCTTTTATACCTGTTGGGACTGGGATTGAAATTGCAATGAAATTTTAGATTAATTTGGGGAACAATAACTCTTTTCAATAGTGAGTCTTTCTAGGCAGGGACATACTGAGATATTCCATTTGTGCAGATTTTGCATAGATGAGTCTTTTCAGGAAATTTTATGGTTTTCTTTATGTCTTCATATAGGGCTTTTACATTGTTCCTAGATATTTAATAGTTTTCCTAAAACAAGCAATTGTGGATGAGATTATTTTTCATACATTTTCTAAATGTGTAGGAAAGTTATTGATTTTTGAATATTTACCTTGAATTTAGCCACTTAGTTTTCCAGTTGATTATTTTGGGTTTTTCTAGATTGATGTCATATCCTGTCCAGATCCAACAGATTAATAATCCTCATTTTCTTTCCTGACTCACTGCATGGCCCAGTTCTCACAGAACAAGGTAGAATGACAGCAGTGGGGTGGTGAGAGACCCTGTTATCCCATAACCTGTCATTTAGACAATTTAGGAATACACTAGGTCTCAGAATACTGCGGAGTCTTGTACTATCCACGAACTCCTTTAGAGGAGAACTGCAAAATTATACCAGAATCATGCAATGGAACTCTAAAATTATAATGGACTTCTGCTTTTGTGAAGGTTAAGTTCATGCTTAGTTCTTGCGCCTTCCTGATATTCAGTGTTTTCTTGTGTTTTTCTGGGGGATGTCCTTTATCGTGCTGAAGAAGTGTTTTTCTCTTCCTTTACTAAGTCATATCATGAAAGTATGCTGAATTTCACCTAATGTTTTTGGACAGCTATCAAGGTGATATTTTATGATTATTTTTATAGATTTCTGGATGGTGAGTGATCCTTACTTTTCTGGGATAAACCTTACTTGGTCATGTTTTATTCTTTTTCTTTTTTTTGTTAGTAGACAAGATTATATGCAGTCTGTGGGGATGTTTTATTTTATTATTCTTTAATATACAACTGATTTGGTTTGCTAATACTTTCTTTAAGATTTTCCCATCTATACTCGTAAATGATTTTGGCCTCTGGCTGTGGGATTGTGCACTTGGGTGGGGACTTGCCTGAACGCACCTGTGACTAGCTCCAGTTTCAGAGTTACCCTAATCTTATAGAATGACCTCTAGAGAGTTTATATTTAAAAAAAAGAAATTTTTTTAGTTAAAAAATGTTTTGAATGATATGATAGGACTCACCTACATTATCAGTCTGAATGTGGGATGGAAATATTTGACTAGTTAAAAAAATTCTTGTATTGTTACTACTCGCCATGGTTACTACTTCATCTTTGGTCAATTCTTGTAATTCTATATTTTCTCAGAAATTCATCCATTTTATTTAGACTTTGGAATTTTTTTTTCTGATTTAAAGTTGCATGTACTTTGAGGACGTGGTTCTTTAATTTTTTTTTTTTTAAATTTCAGGTCGAATTTACAAGCACTTTGAGCAGCCTTTGATTACCTATGAAAAACATGATGTGACGGACCACGCACAGAGCATTGGAGGATCCCATTCTCTGCTTCTTTTGAAGGCTCATGGTGAGTCGTCCGTGTGGTATTATTACTACCTTGTGATAAACTTACCTGAGGACTCGGTGTTGGCTGCTTTAGGAATGGAGGTACGCATAATTTTAGCAGATTTTCATATGACTTTTATGTTTAAACATTAACATTTGTCCGGGTGAGGTGGCTCATGCCTCTGATCACTAGCACTCTGGGAGGCTGAGGCAGGTGGATCACTCGAACTCAGGAGTTCGAGACCAGCCTGAGCAAGAGTGAGACCCCATCTCTACCAAAAACAGAAAACCTGAGTCAAGAGGATTCCTTGAGCCAAGAGTTTGAGGTTGCTGTGAGCTATGATGCCACGGAACTCTACCCAGGGCAACAGAGTGAGACTCTGTCTCCAAAAAAGAAAAAAAAATTAACATTTGCAGATAGCATCATCTATCTTAATGTTTCTTAATTTTTATTTAAACTGGAGAGTAGAGCTAATTCAGTGGTTTTAACCCTGACTGCACATTAAAATCACTCATAGAAATTTTAAGACATCTATGATTTTAAAAAATTATCCTAGTTGTTTCTAACTGCAGCCAGTGTCAGTTGAGGATCACTGGTATCACTAATTAATTACTAATTAATTAGTATCACTAATTAATTTGACTTTCATGAGATTTAATTTTGGTGTTTACTAAAATAAATGCTAATAGGAGTGATCTGCAGTTCTGATTGTTTTATTTTATTTTTTAAAATTTCAGATTAATATGAGGGTACGAATGATTAGATCACATTGTTTGCATTTATTAGGTAAAGTTCAAGTTGTAGCTGGGCTCTTCACCCAGGGGGTGTGCTGTGTACCCTTCCACTGTGCACATTAGATGAGAGCTCACCAATCCTCCCTCCTTCCCTCTTTCCTCTCCCCTCCGTTCCACTTGAATTTAAATGTGTTTTTCTCCCATGTGGGCGTGTAGTTATTCATCTGTTGGTTTCATATTAGTATAGCATACATTGGATACTTGCTTTTCTATTTTTACTGTACTTTACTAGAAAAATGTTCTTTAATTCCATCCAGATAAATATAAAAGATGTAAAGTCTCCATCTTTTTTATGGCTGAATAGTATACACATATACCACAGTAGATTAATCCATTCATGAGTTGATGGGCACTTGGGTTGCTTCCAAGTCTTGGTGATTATGAATTGGGCTGTGGTGAACCTTTTAATGTAAATGTCCTAGTGGTAAAATGATTTTTTTTCTTCTATCTGCGTAGATACCTAGGATTGTGGGATCAAGTGAAAGGTTTACTTTTAGCTCTTTGAGAATTCTCCATATACTTCTTTGCATGGAGGCTGTGTTAGCTTGCAATCCCACCAGAAGCAGAAATGTGTACCTTCTCTCCACATCTACGCCATCATCTGCAATGTTGGGAGTTTGTGATGTGGGCCATTCTCACTGGGGTTAGGTGATGTCTCAGAGTGGTTTTGATTTGCATTTCTCTCATGATTAAGGACGATAAACATTTATTCATGTTTTCTGGACATTCATTTATCGTCTTCTGAGAAAGTTCTGTTCATGTCTCTGGCCCACGTATAAATGGGGTTGTTTGCTCTTTTGTTGATTAGTTTGAGTTTTCTTTAGATTCAGGTTATCAGCTCTTTGTCAGCAATGGAAATATTTTCTCTCATTCTGAAAGTTGAGACTATAACGGTAATTTGGTTTCAGGATATAGTTTTGTTGTTGAACTGAACAAGTATGTGAAGGCATATAAAGTACCCAGTACTAGACTTAGGTCTGATATAGCTAAATGAGGGATGGGACCAAATTAGATTGGCAATAGCCTAAAATCAAAACTCTCCTATGCTTTGGTTCTACATAGGAGAGTTGATTCCATTTGAAAAGTAGCCTGGCTTATAGTTAAAAAGATAGGATTTAAAAGTAGGAGAATAGTGTAGTGTATACCATACTATTACAAATTATTAGGGTTTTGGGGAACTTTCCTTATTTGGTATATTCCCTTTATATTGTCCAGAGTTATCCATTATACTGTATTTTTTGTAAATCTCACCACAGTTAAGCTTAAAAATAACTTTCTTCTTGTTAATTTGCTTCCAATCACGTTGTAGCTCCAGATGGGCAGTGTTTTGATTCAGAAATAATGCGCCTGTTTGCTTTTCATTGTTTTCTGGAGTGAGATGATTCTGAAATGATTATGGACAAGCTGTATTAATATCACAGTTAAGAGTACAGTGGCTCAAGTCTGACGGTGTTTGCACCCTGACTTTATACACTTGGACAAAGTACTTCACTTCTCCATGCTTCAGTTTCCTCAGCAGCACCACTGGAATAACAATCCCAACTACATCATAGGATGCTGCAGAGATGAATTAGATACATACATGTGAAGCCCTTAGGGCGGCTCGGAATGGGAGTTAGGGAAGCGTCAAATTGTGGGAGTGGTAGTGGTGTCAAAGCTACGATGGACAGGGCCTTTTGACGTCGTGCGCATGTCAGCTGAATGTATTTTACTGGCTGTTTGTATTTCCTGAGCATTAGTCTTGGTCGTTTAAGAAACAGCTTGATTAGTTTGTGGAATCAACCACTGTGTTTTTCTCACCTGCAGGTGCCTTAATGTTCGTGGCGTGGATTACCACTGTGAATGTAGGCGTACTGCTTGCCCGGTTCTTCAAACCTGTTTGGTCAAAAACGTTCTTCCTGGGTGAAGCGGTTTGGTTTCAGGTAGGTGGGGGGAAAAAGGTTTAATGCAATTTTTTTTCTTAATAATATAAACTCAAGAGGTTATATTATTTGGACATTGCGACATGAAAGAGTGTGTCGTGTATGTGTGCGTTTTGTGAGTACAGTCGTAGGTTTGGAATCCTCTTTTTTCCATTGAATTTCCTAACCAGTTGAGAGCAGGCGTAAGATGCTCACAGAGATCAGAACACAAACGGCTTTAGGAGGGGTCAGGCTGAACTGGAGAATGTGTCAGGGCCGTGTGTGTCCCTTTGTCACGAAGACTCTGGGACTCAAGTGATTCTTGTTCACAACTCTGCGTGTGAGGGGTGTTGTCGGAGGACTATCTCCCCCCTGCACTGAGGAAGGATGGATTAAGAAAGGCACGGTGCAGAAGAAAGAGATACACCTGGTGGATGGGCCAGCGAATGTTGGATAGTCAGCTCGTCTGTCTTCTATGTGGGTGGAAAGAGAAACTGAAAATGTTCTTTTTCCTTTTAAAAAAAATTTAAAAAGATTTTTAGTTTTTTAAGTTTAAACTCCTTCCTACCTCAGGAGAAAGCGTTCTTTTTCACACTGCCCCTCCCATGGGACGGGGAGGGACTTACCCAGTAGGAACATAGGTGAGAATCAGTACTCTTCACAACACAGCAAAACAAAGCTGCTCTCGCTGGGTCATGGAGTATTGACATTTGCACACATAGCGGCAGATCAGCCAGTTCTCATCGAGTTAGAATGTAGCTGCCTGCCTGAAGAAAGGCCATTGCAACAGTTTAGACTTTATAAGTGAATATCCTCCATGCTTCATATCAATTTGCAGCTTTTGAGGTTTACCTCACCTCACCTGATTGCTCACTATTGGCTGGCGGGGCCAACTGTTTTATCTGTTCTCTGTGGTCTGCACGCCTTGCTCTGTCTGTCTTGCCTCTGATTTTGCACGTGAGAGCGTTCCTTCCTGGACTCACACACGTACACATCTGCTCACGTGGATCCTACTGGGAAGATGCTTTGTTGTCTTCCCTTTATCAATTCAAATCCTCAACTGCCTTTAAAACAACAATATGTGTGTGTGTGTGAGGGGGGTGGCCACACACATACATCCTAGTGTTATATATATATTTTTTAGATTTTTTTTTATTGTTGGGGGTTCATTGAGGGTACAAGAAACCAGGTCACACTGATCGCATTTTTTAGGTAAAGTCCCTCTTACAGTCATGTCTTGCCCCCCAAAGGTGTGGCACACACCAAGACCCCACAGCCCTCCCTCCTTCCGTCTCTCTGCTCTTCCTTCCCAGAGTCTCACTTTGTCACCCTTGGTAGAGGGCCATGGCGTCATAGCTCACAGCAACCTCAAGCTCTTGGGAGCTTTATGTTTTTATATGTGCGCACACATGTATGTGTAGGATCATATGTGGGGACCTTACGTCCTCCTGTGCTCAGGACTGTTTCAGTTATACCAGTTGTCCCGGCACCATCCATGAACAGTGCCTATCTTCATACTTAACATCTCCTTAACTTGTACCATGAATTACACATTTCGTAGATTTTTCTCTTATCTACTCGACTATATCTGAAGCTCCTTGGGAGACAGTCCTTTGTTTCTCGCTGTCTTATCGCACTGTACTTGGTGGTGGAGTGTAATAAATCACAAGGGGCTCTGTGTGTGAAACACCCCTTCTTGCTGCTCTGTGCAGGCCAAGTCTGGGCAGAAACTTTTGAATGGTGAGGATGGCGCTTAGGATTTTCTTTAAACTTTAGTGTTACACTAAGGTTTGTTTTTCCTTATCACTGACCATAAGCTATGAGTAGATGCCAATTGACATAGATGGGGTGGCTTGTACGTGTAGTCCCAGCTACTCAGGAGGCCCAGGAGTTTGAGGGAGGCTGGCCGGGGCGACATAGTCAAACCATCGCCCAAACAAACAGGCAATGAATGCATGCTTCAGCGAATCCTGCCCCAGTCCTCCCCACGGTACACCGACTCCTCCTACTCAGTGGACTGACTCCACACGTCATCGTTCCCCGTGCAGGTGCATCGGATCCTCATGCTCACTACGTCTGCTCTCACCTGTGTCGCTTTTGTGTTGCCTTTTATCTACAGAGGAGGCTGGAGTAGGGTGAGTAGCTATCCTCAACAGGGCGTTTTTATGGGAATCCGTTTTGATGGCCAAGTAGATCATTGTTTTATTCTCAAATGACGGGTGACGTTTTTCTGTGTGTGTCTCTCTTTCTTCCATTTTTGGATCGTCCGATGACTCTTTCACAGGATCAGAGGTCAGGGCCAGGGTGAGGATGTTAGTGCAGATTCCTTACTACTGAAATCTATTTTTAGGTCAGGTGCAGTGGTGACTGCACGCCTGTAATCCCAGCACTCTGGGAGGCTGAGACAGGTGGCTTGCCTGAGCTCATGAGTTCATGAGCAGTCTGAGTAGGAGAGAGACCCCATCTCTACTAAAAATAGAAAAACTGGCTGGGAATTGTGCTGGGCCCCTGTAGTCTCAACTACTCAGGAGGCTTCAGCCCAAGACTTTGAGGTTGGTGTGAGCTATGACACCATGGCACTCAATCCAGGGTGACAGAATGAGACTCTGTCTCAAAAAACAAAAACAAACAAACAAAAAACTATCTATCTATCTATCTATATATATATATAAAACATCAAATGTTGTGTGCACACTACAGCTTCAGTGAATTTTTCTCACTATAGAGTGGGAAGATTCAGTGTGATGTCTAAGGACCAGGAGCAATGTAAACAGTTTTCTCTAATTAGTACTATGATTGCCACTTAGTGAACATAAGTTGCATTTCTGCTATGTGACCAGCTGTGCTAAGTGCTTTACCTATGTTGTCAAATTTAAATCTCTAGTAAGTAGGTATTGGTAATAATTCCATGTCGTAAGTGAAGACCCTGAAGCTTATTCCCAAATGTTTATTTCTCTATAATATATATATATGCACATATATTTAAAACTCTTATGTATATACATACATGTATATATATATATATATTTTTTTTCTTTTTTTTTTGTAGCGATGGGGTCTCACTCTTGCTCAGGTTGGTCTTGAACTTCTGAGCTCAAGCAATTCACCTGTCTTGGCCTCCCAGTGTTAGGATTACAGGCGTGAACCACTGCACCTGGCCCCCAAATGTTTATCTCTAGCCCAGACCTCTCCCCTGGCTTGTAACTCACACATCTAGCTCAAGTTGCACTCAGGACCCTAACTTGCGTGTCTGAGACATCAAACTTGATGCATCCAAAATGGAATTCCTATTCTTTCTCCCCAGTCCTGCTCCACCTTCTGGGACTCTGCTGATAGCTACTGGAATCCATCCTTAGATGAAAATGTGGAATTACCCTTAACTGTGCTGTCTTGCATAGCCCACACCAGATCCCCTGGGAAATCCGATCGGCTCTACCTTCAAGCTGCATCCACAGTCCGCCACTTCTCTTTGCCAGCGGCAGCTTTGCAAAGAGCATCCTCTTTGGCCTGGATGTTGCAGTGGCTGCCTAACTGGTCTTTCCCCTTCAACCTTTGCTCATGGATCCTCCATTTTCAACAAAGAAGGCAGAGTGATCAAAATGTGAATCAGATCATGTCATTCCTGTGCTCCAAATGGATTTCTTTAATATATCTCAATTTTACTCAGAGTAAAGCCAAGGTTCTCCCAGTGACTTCCATAGTTTGGCTCCCAGTCATTCTCTGAGCTACCCTTCCCTATAGTCCATCTCCTCCCATGCTGGTCCCGTGCTGCTGCGGATGCGCCGGGCCAGGTCCTGCTCTGTTGTCACCCCTCCCTGTAGTCCATCTCCTCCCACCAGCTCCTGCTCTGTTGTCAGGGTGGCCTCTTTCTTCTGCCCGGCACATGCTTCCTTCACCCTCACGTTCTTCAAGTCTTTGCTCAAATCATACCGTTTCGGGGGACCCCACCCTGTTTTTTCTTTTTTATAGCTTTTTTTACCTTATGCCATTTCAGATAATTTACTTGTTATGATTTTTCTTAATCTATCTTTCCACACTAGTGTAATCAGCTCTGTGAGAACTGAGATGTCCGTTGGTGTGTTCCCCGGTGTATCCTCAGTACCTGAAACAGATTCTAGGGGACTACAGAGTAGGGACTCAGTAAATATTTAGTGAATAAATGGACACACTTGTTGAGAGTAAGCGACACCCCTAAGTTTAGAGCCTGTACTTCCCAGACACTCTTCCAGTTTTAAAGCCAGTTAGAATTTGATATCAAGATTAGATATTTCAGAGTTTGGGCTGGTGCCACAAGGAATAAGATCAGTGAATCTTGGGTCACAGATATTTCCAGGAAACTTCCTTCCTGCTTTTTATTTTTTAAAAAATAATCTTAAGGGCAATCAACTTCCTGCTTTTTAGCTAGTTTATGGATTAGCTAACCTATTTTTTAAAGGAAATTATGACGATTTTATTACATTGGAACCTTATTTTATCCAGGCATTTGGGACAAGGGTGACACTTATTTTTTAATTTTGTAGTTTATAGTCTCTGCAGGTTATGAATAAGACAGTGTTCTACAGCTGGACTAGTTAGGTTCAAATCCTGGGACACCCTGGGCCAGTTACTCCACTTGCCCTCAGATTGCTCTCCGGTACAGCGGCAACAGCGTAGCATCTACCTCCAGGGCTTTCTGTGAGCACTGGAGTTAGTTAACTGGAGGGATTTGGAATAGTTCCCAGTGTATTCTAAGCACATATGAGAATTTTGTTGTTGCTGCTGTTTTGTTTTTTATTAGCTAGAAGCCCTCTCCATCTCCACAATCCATGAGTAACTAAGTCCATGCTTTGAAAATGTTTTCATATTGCTCTTTGTCAGCCTCTAGTTCCTATTTACAGAGACGTCCCATCATGTCTTTATGTCCCTGGTTCCAGCCACAGATTTATAGCCCACCTGGGCACGCAGGTCAGTGTAACAGGCTGTAGCACCCTTCCATCCAGATGTGAATTACTGGAGGTCTGTTTTGCTTGTCTGTGGTGTTAGATATTGCAGAAATCATGCATGACTTTTTCTTGGTTTTGCTCATCAGCTTTAGTGTTTTTGTGGCTCCACACAACTCTTACTCTTCCAATGTGTGGGAGGAGAGAAAAAGGTTGGACACCCTTGGTAGAGCATCTTTGCACTTCTAACGCGTCCAGGTCTCTGCTCTTTTGAGCAGTACACGTCGTCAGTAAAGGGAGGGTTGTAGCAGAAACTGTTGAGACACTGTGTCGATGTTTTTTCCTGTGTTAGGTCTTCATTCTGAACAGAGGAGATGATCTTTTTAATCCAGTGGTGATACAGGTTATTCACGGAACCAACATTTATTGAGTGACTACGACTCTGTTAAGCTCCAGGGTTCCAGGGAATCACATAGATCCCGCAGCTTAGGGAAACGCAGAGGTCTAAACAGATCGTTACAATACACGGGAATGATTGCTTTTGACACGGGGACACTAACCAGCTGGCCTGCGGATGGCTGCTGGGGTGTTGCTGGTGCTCAGCCAACATCCTGAGGGGGAGCGAAGCATCCTGTGCACGAACTCCACCATTTACGTACTGTGTGGCCTGGGCCTGGTGCTTGGTGTCTCTGAGCCACAGCTCCCCCTTTTGTAAAAGTGGGATACCAGGAACCAGTTGTCAAGAATCAGCAGTGTGTGTAAAGGACGTCCTGGCATAAAGTGGATATCAGTGAAGGTTGCCTGTTGTATTGCCATCGTTATGGAATGTTCAAAGCCGTGGAAACACAGAGCGTATACATCTGTGTGCACTATTTTTAACTTGAGGATTTACACTGATGAGAGAGATTCAGACCATTAAAATGACCTGACTTTGTTCAGCACGCAGGTTTCCACCCGTACCTCGGCTGCACCGTGATGACCTTAGCGATTCTTCAGCCTCTTCTGGCAGCCTTCAGGCCACCTCTACACGACCCCAGGTACTTCTGGCTTACATACACACGAATGCTCTCTTAATGTGGATATCATGAGATAGAAAACGCATCTCTTTTCAAGTGGAAATACTTTGCCTTTTGTAAAATTCTGTGATAAATTGAAGTTCCTTTGAAGGCCATTAGAATGTATTTCAGATATCTAATTTCCAGGCAATAGGGAAATTGCATGGTTTTTATTCTCTTGGGAATTAATTGTAGTTCCGTTGCTTTTAAGAGCGCTGACTGGTTCTTTATTTTGGTAGAAGGCAAGTGTTTAACTGGACTCATTGGAGTATGGGTACAGCTGCTAGAATAATAGCAGGTAAGTCACTGTGATGCCACTTATTCATATATAATTGCTGGTTGTTTATATGGCAAGTTATAATTTGCCTTAAATGATTTTTAGATGCATTAGTAATTGGAGTAATTGGTTGTTAAGGAGAAATCAGCCTTTAACACTGAAATCCGAAAAGTAATTTCTAGAGGTAACTATTTAAGTCATTATTTCAGTTTCGAGTTTAAGGTTTTTAAAACGACTTTCAGACTCTGTGCTTAGACACTTTTTTTTATTTTTAAGCATTTGGCTTTGCCAGCAGAATAAACTATACTAACGGCCAAATATTTGAGCAAGTCAAGTCGAAGGTTATTTGGTTGGGTTGAAGTGGGTTGTTTGGCCCAAACCTTCTGTGTGTAGGTCCTTTCCATGGGTTTGTATCTTCCAGAGTGGGGTGGTTTTCAAAAATTGTGTGTGATTGTCCAATACATTTTGATGTCTTATGTAATAAATCCCTCAGCAGGCACCTCCCACCCTAACACTGCTGTAGTCGATGGGGTTCTTTGTGATAGAGGATGTACAGGCAGCAATGGTTTCCATACTTCTTTTCTCTTTCTATATTGCAGTTTTAAAACTTTCTGGCAAGTTTAGATGCCTCTTCCTTAAACAATTGGTAGATCATAATTATAATTTCCCATCTTGCCCTATCTAGCCTCACAATAAAAAAAGACTAAATTAACTATTTGATCTTAAATATTAATCTGTTGCCCTGGGTAGCATGCCATGGCGTCATCATAGCTCACAGTAACCTCCAACTCTTGGGCTCAAGTGATCCTCTTGCCTCAGTTTTTCTTTTCTTTTCTTTTCTTTTTTTTTTTGACACACAGTCTCGCTATGTCACCCTTGATAGAGTGCCGTGGTGTCACAGCTCATAGCCACCTCTAACTCTTGGGCTCAGGTGATTCTTTTGCCTCAGTCTCCCGAGTAGCTGGGACTACAGGTGCCTACCACAATACCCAGCTATTTTTTGGTTGTTGTAGTTGTCATTGTTGTTTTAGTAGGCCGGGGCTGGGTTCGAACCCTCCAGCCCTGGTGTATGTGGCTGGCACCTTAACAACTGAGCTATGGGCACCAAGTCAAATTTTTCTATTTTTATTAGAGATGGAGTCTTACTGTTGCTCAGGCTGGTCTGGTGAGCTCAAGCAATCCGCCCACCTTGGGCTCCCAGAGTGTTAGGATTATAGGTGTGAGCCACCGCACCTGGCCTTAAATATTAATCTTATTTATCTCATCAGTTCTGTTTTCTTTGATCTAATACACACGTGCACACACATATATAATTGTGTCTTTTGGTGGGGACTGCATTTGAATGTGTATTTTTTTCTCTTACATTAGTGACGGTAATGTTCCTGGGAATGGACTTACCAGGACTGAATCTTCCTCACCCACGGAAAACCTATGCAATGATTGGATTCGTGGCCTGGCACGTCGGGACTGAGATCATTCTGGAGATACATGCTTATCAACTCTCTCGAAAAGGTAACCCACTCAAAAGGCCGTGTTATGTAGAATCACTTTTATACAAACTGTTGGAAAGTAATTAGTTTCTTGATACTCATGGTTGACTATTACCTGGCAGCTCATTAAAACTTTTTGTTATAATTGATTATTCAGCTGGTGGTAGAAATTGTAGAAATTTTCAGGTTTTTTCTTTTAAACATTGCTTAGTATTAGAATTTGTGAGTAAAATATAAAGGAAGTATTTTAGGTTTTAAAGAAGACGTCTTCATGGTAACTATTTTCGCTTGGTGTGCTGGGCTCAGTTGGATCCAGTAGGGACGGGGAATTCTGAATGCCTGGAGCCAAGAGAACCCTGAGATGAGGAAGAAGAGACTCACAGTTAACACAGGGCAGAGCTGCAGAAAATTTTATCTATTTTTCACATTTACCTTTGCTATCCCTTTGGTTGCCATGTGCATAGATATGCAGCTAACTGGCGAGCAAGCCAGGAAGGAAGGACTCGCCTGTGCTCTCTAGGGGTGAGGTCTGTTTTGGTCCTAGGGCCAAACAGGGTCAAGATACCTACAGCCTTCATTAGGAGTGCAGACATTAGTAGAGAATGGGTGAGATTTAAACTTCGTTAAGTGTTGTCTGTGTCCTATCTGGTATTCAGTTCTCAAAATGAGTGAAGCTAGCCTTCTAAAAACAAAAACTGTTTATTGTCTGTGTATATGTTGTGAACACAGGAGCCCGGGGGACTTCTAGGGGCTGAGTAATAAGTATCTGCACTGCCATTTTTGGTTCTTGAGGGTTATATTCATGGAGCTGTTGAAGACCACTGAATTATGGCTTGCTGTTTAAAATATTTATGTTCTTGGGCCAGGTATGGTGGCTCACACTTGTAATCCTAGCACTCTGGGAGGCCAAGACAGGCATATTGCTTGAGCTCAGGAGTTTTGAATCCAGCCTGAGCAAGAATGAGATCCTGTCTCTAAAAATAGTCGGGTGTTGTGGTGGGTGCCTGTGGTCCCTGCTACTGGGGAGGCTGAGGTAAGAGGATCACTTGACCCCAGGATTTTGAGGTTGCTGTGAGCTGTGACACCATGCACTCTACCGGGGAGAACATAGCAAGACTCTGAAAGAAAAGAAATACTTATATTTTTAAAACCTGTATAGTTGTCATATGTTAATGAACTTAATTTAGCCATTCCACAATGTATACACATATTGAAACATCATGTTATATACTATGCATAGCTACAATTTTTATTTGTCAGTTAAAAAACCCAAAAAACAAGGTGTGGACTTTGAGGTGGTGTTTATCGACCAGAAAAGGGCTTATTTAAGTCATTTGACAAATAATGTGTTACAGCTGGTTTGTCTCAGTTTGTGAGCGTGCTAAGTATTTAGGAAGTTTTCAATGAAGTGGCAGACTTTGCAACCTGAAAATTGATGAATACTACAAATCAGATGAGTTTTTAAAATTCTGTTTACTTGCATAATACCATTCTTACAAACTTACGTTGTTATTCTTGACAGTTGAAGTATGGGATGATGTTAGGATTCAGATCCTTCAGTCCTGTACTGTAGCCGAAGCAGAGGTTAGTCCTTTCTTTTCTTTTTTGTGGACGTAAACTTCATGGTTGTCCTTTTTTCTCATATCTCAAATTTCTTTTTTCAGGGTCATACTTTCAAAAAGGCGGTATTGACAATTTATGTCTGTGGGAATGTGACTTTTCTCATCATATTCTTATCTGCAATCAACCATCTATGAGGAAGGGGAGAACTTGGCTCTTGTGGGCCATGTGATAATCATCATCAAAACAAAGAAACTTAAAGCCTGTACTGACCACCTGGGGCACATTTATGAATTCTAATTTGGAAGACCAGGGCCATGTCTCCAGAGGAATTCTGAAGTCAAGTCTTTAGAGGTCAACATTCGAGAGTCATATAGATTATCAGCTGATGTCAGACTGTTATATGGAATTCTGGCCCTCAAGGGTGTACTTGAGGAGAAATGAATCTTCAGTAGTCAATGCCAAGATTTGAAGAATGTTAGCCTTTTAGAAAATAAATAAGAATGATTTAGAAAAACAGAACAGATGTTATGAGGATAAAAAGGAGATTGTGTTAAAGTATATACATATTGGACAACAAAGCTGTGTTACTTCAAGAAATATTTATTTGTACTTGTTTATCTGAATGGTCGTAGGACTATTAAAACAGAAACTGTTCTTCAGCCCAGTTTTGGACACATTCTTTGCTCTGTGTATTTTGTTACTTCTCTGGTAAAGGTGGAAGTGGGCGTGACCCGATTGTTGTATTGACATTTAAACATTTTGTTAATATCACAGTTTCTTCCTCAGAAATGAAATGCAAGTATTCATCTTCTGCCTTCAGGCCTTCTTTATATATTCTGCTGCAGAGCTAAAATGGTGTTATATGTTAATTGTTTTGTCTATAACATTTAAGTCCTTATAGCATCTGTAGACTTACATTTCAAAATTGATAAAACTCACCCTTGTGAATGTAGCTAACAAATATTCTCTTTATTTGTAAAATAAAATGATCTGGGCACTTCTGTTTTGTTAGACATTCCTGATGCTCTAATGAATCAGAATAGTTAGTGTATTTTTCTTCTTAGACCATTACTTGTCTTCTGTTTTGTGGTTGGGTCTCATAGTTGCTATGAGTACTTCTAGCCAGTGGGTGGTGCTGTAATACTGAGATATGTACGGCTTTGTTCCTATTTCCTTGTGCTGATTCATTTTTAGTACTTGGATAATAACATCATGGGGTGGCTGCTCTCTTAAATTCCACCAAATCCTCTTAATCTTTATTCGAAAAATTTTTGCATTTGTTTTGGGGTCAGGTTATGGTTTAGAAACTCAAATTAGGGATTGATGTTGTGCTTTTTTAGTTTTATGCATTTGTTTTCTTACCATGATTATTCATAATTGTTTGGTATTTCCTTTTGCATTGCCCTGACCTATAACAAAAGAACACAATACTCTCAGGGTAAGGAAACAAACAAAACTGGACATTTAAAAAATTGTCTTTAGGGAGTCATACTTGATTTCTTTAGGTATTCTTTCTGATTATGTTATAGTTTCTGGTTGGTCCAAGAACCTAATTTCTATATGATGTAAATAATAGACTCAGCTGTGTATCCTACATATTTTACTGGGCAAAATGATATGGAAGTTTTGTTTTTGTTTATTATATCGGTATTTATCACTAAGTGGCTTAGATATGAACTTTCTATGTTCATATTCTGTATGTGCCATAGTATTTACAGTCTAAACTTTCATTTTGAATGTCTCTACTAAAAAAAAAAAACCCCTCATCTATTAGCTGGGTATTATGGCAGGTGCCTGTAATCCCAGCTACTCAGGAGGCTGAGGCAAGAGAATCACTTGAGCCCAAGAGTTTGAGGTTGCTGTGAGCTGTGATGCTAAGGCACTCTACCAGGGGCAACAAAGTGAGACTCTCTCAAAACAAAACAAAACAAACCCATCTAATATAGCAAATTAAATATATACTCAAATATTTTCTCCAGTTTTCTGTTATAAGGGACTTAAAGGTTGATAAATTTCTCTGAATAAGCTATATTCTGTATCTGACGAGGAAAACTTCTTTCAAGGGAAAGATGAGCCTTGATGTGTTTGGTTTTCAAACACAGTGGAACCTTCATAGTTGACCACCTCCTTAAGTTGACCTCATTTTTCATAGACTGGACATGCCTAGTTCCTTAGTTAACCACCTCTGTATGTTGACCAATTCATTATAATCCCTTGGGTGATCATCTTATAGAGCTTCTGCTGTATGTGAACTTGCTGGATTTCCAGTGTTGGGGCTAAGATATTTTAACTTTTTTACTGATTCACGTGTTGGCACTATTTTGATACTTAATCAACTGACGAACAGAGTCGTCCATAGAAACCTTTGTCATTTAACTTTTAACTTTTTTTTTTTTTTTTTTTGCTGGGGCTGGGTTTGAACCCACCTCCTCCAGTATATGGGGCCTACTCCTTTGAGCCATAGGCATCCCCTGTTAATTTTTTTATTTTTGAGGCAGAGTTTTGCTCTGTGTCCCAGGTAGAGTGTAGTGGTGCTACACTCTAGCTCACTACGACCTCAAACTCCTGGGCTCAAGCGACTCTCCTGCCTCAGCCTCTTGGGTAGCTGGGTACCACGATTCTCAGCTAATTTTCTATTTTTGTTTTTTTTTATTTTTTCTTTTCTTTTCTTTTCTTTTTTTTTTTTTTTTGAGACAGAGCCTCAAGCTGTTGCCCTGGGTAAAGTGCTGTGGCATCACAGCTCATAGCAACCTCAAACTCCTGGGCGTAAGAGATTCTCTTGCCTTGGCCTCCCAAGTAGCTGGGACTACAGGTGCTCACCACAACGCCCAGCTATTTTTTTGGTTGTAGTTGTCATCGTTGTTTGGCAGCTGGATTCAAACCCACCAGCTCTGGTGTATGTGACTAGTGCCTCAGCTGCTTAAGCTACAGGTGCCTACCTAATTTTCTATATTTGGTAGAAACAGGGTTTTGCTCTTTCTGATGCTGGTCTCAAACTCTTGAGCTCAAGCAATCTTTCTGCCTTGGCCTCTTAGAGTCCTGGAATTACAGGCACGAGCCACCTGAGCCCAGACATTTGTCATTTAATCCTAATAGACCACAGCTTTTCATTAAATTCACCAAATTATAATTATGCTGCCTATTCTTCACTTCTCTCAGTTTTCCTTCTTTCTGTAATGAACCATCTGGGTAGCTTTAAACATCTTATTTCTTTTGATAGGAGTGATTTTTAAAATAAATGCCTTACATCTTTAGCAAAGTTGCCCAAAACAGTGAGCGAAATCATACATTTCCTTCTTAAAGAAGGGATGCTCTACAAAATAAAGATACATTTCCTTTTTGAAAAAGTGAAACAATTTCTAGAAAATGGTGGTGGGGGTGGCATGCATAGCTGAGGCCGTTTTATTTTTGTTATTTTCTGGTCTGTGGAAATCAATCTTAAGGGCCAAGGTCTTCTATAGCGTGAGTTATCAGATAAATGGCCAAATTCACTTTGGGGCTTCTTTGGTTTTTGTCAGGAGTTTTGCTAACGTGGGTTAAGTGATACCTATTTCTTCCACATCCTGCCCTGCGTCCAGGATGCAGGGCAGACAAATGAAGCAGATGCCAGGTGGAAGCTCTGGGCACACGTGGCTTTTGGCTGCAATGCTGTTTATCTGTATACTCTGGTGATGCATATTCAAAAAAAGAACAAAGGTCCTAGTATAGGTGGAAATGAAAGAAAAGGTTCTTCTCAGCTCTTTTCATGTTGGTTGGAATAGTCACTGTGCCCGGGCACATCCTGCTTTTTACTCCTCGCCCAACCTCCACCAACCCCATTTCTGCACCCAGGTCACCTATGGCGCTGACCAGCCTAAAATGCCCTTTGTGTTATTCCCTTCCTAACAAAAGCGAGTTTATCAAGTCCTGGCCCAAGTTCTTTTTTTCCCTCCTTGGAGCTTTCCCTGCTCTGTCCAACATGCGTCTCTACTTGTCCTGGCGGTCCTTATAAATCGGATGGGAGGCAGCTGATCCTGTAGATAAAGAAGGAGTGGGGGTCAGAAGACTCGAATGTGCACGTTTGCTTGTTGATTGGACAAGTCACTTACCTTCTGTGGGTCCCGTTCCTTTATGTCTAAAGCTCATCTCGCAGATCAGCTGGGAAGGTTGAACCAAGTGATGCCCGCGAAAAGGGCTCACTCTGTACGTTGTCGACGCCTTTCCTCTCTGGTTACAGTGATTAACTCGAACAGTTGCTTGCAAAATGTGTACTTTTCATTTTATAAAAAAATTTGATGTTCATATGGAAAACATTATGCTAAATAAACTAGACTAAAGGACAACTATTGTATAATCCCACTTACCTGTGGTACCCAGAGTACCCAAATTCATAGATACAGAAAATAGAATGGTGGTTACCAGCAGCGAGGGGGAGAAGGCAGTAAGAAATTAGTGTTTCGTGGGATCAGAGCTTCGTGAGGAAAATCAAAAGGTTCTGCAGATGGATGGTGCTGGTTGTAGAACACTGAGAATGTTCTCCCTGCACTGAATACAACTTACCATTATTACGTATTTTTTAGCACAATACAAAAGTGTGAAAAAAGGTAATATTCATAGCAGCACTATTCAGAATAGCAAAATGATAGCAACAACTCTTACGACGACCAGGGATGAATGTATAAACAGATGATGGTACATACATACAGCATAAAAGAATGGTGTTCAGCTATAAAAAGGAAAGAAGTCCTGAGATGTGTTGTCACATGGATGAGCCTCAAAACATTGTGCTGAGCAAAAGAGGTCAGACCTCCAAAGGTCAGCTGGTGTGCTATTTTGTTTATATAAAATACCCAGAATAGGTAAGTCTGTAGAGACAGATGGCAGATTGATGGTAGTGAGTGGCGAATGGGGAGAAGGAAGACCGGGGAAATGGGGAGTAACTGATAATGGGTGTAAGGTTTTATTTTGGGGTGATTAAAGTGTTTTGGAACTAGATAGAGGTGATAGTAGCACAACATTGTGAATATAAGAAATTCCACTGAATTGTCCACTTTAGAATAGTTTATTTTATGGTATGCGACTTTTTCACCTAGGTTAAAAGAAAGTTTGTGTTGTTGCTGTTCTTGGGTGATAACTTGGGGGGAAAACAATTTGGGAGTTTTGCTAGCCATAAATGTGGTATGAGTTTAATTTCTTACGTTGCTGTCAAAGAAGTTAATGCAACTGCATATTACAATTAGGATTGTAGGATTATCCCTACACCCAGGGATCTATCTCTGGTGTAGGGGAGAAGAAGGTTTTAGAGCACTTACTAAGTAAGTAGTATATATGTGTGTATTTTGGAGTGATATCTTATTCTTATGTGAAAGAAACTGTACTATGATCTAGGATTCCTGTGAGGCCCTAAACAAATTTTTAAAAAATTTTCAATCAGATACCGATAATGTGGTAATCAAATTCTTGGGATAAGAATTTTCTGAACCCATGGGTTGGGTGCAGTGACTCATGCCTGTCACTCTAGCACTCAGGGAGGCTGAGGCAGGTGGACTGCCTGAGCTCTGGAGTTTGAGACCAGCCTGAGCAAGAGTGAGATCCCATCTCTACTAAAAATAGAAAAACTAGCCGGGCATGGTAGCACACACCTGTAGTCCCAGCTACTCAGCAAGGGGATCGTTTGAGCCCAAGTGTTTGAGGTTGCTGTGAGTGAGGATGCCACAGCACTCTACCCAGGGTATAGAGTGAGACTTTGTCCCCCCCCCGAAAAAATAAAAAAATATAGCTACAATGAATTTCCTGGAACCATACATTCTAAATATCTGCCTTACACTGCCAGTAATGTCTGGGTAAGCTCTTACCCAGCTGACCCTCCTCCAGAAAGCTAGTGGAGGCTTCAACAGTGGCCACCTGAAGGCCCCAGAGGTGACTGGAAGTGGGAAGATTCTGGTGAGGGGTCCACACTCAGAGGAGAAAAACTCTGGAGTGAGCCCCCTTTTTCCCTTTTCAGCTTCAGAGCAGGTATGGTCAGTATGGTGCTGGGAGGCAGGGGAACCAGTGGAAAAATGGCAATTTTTCAGGTATAGGAAACCAGAAGACAGATGGCGGGGAAACTGCAGCTGTCAGGAGGGGAGGGTGATCCTGGGAGGGAAAACTGGAGAGGGGATCCTGAAGCCCCCTGCTTGGCCCTATACATGTACAGTCTGATAAAAGACATTTAAGAAATGGTGAATGACTGGGCGGTGCCTATGACTCAGTGAGTAGGGTGCCAGCCCCATATACCAAGGGTGGCGGGTTCGAACCCAGCCCTGGTCTAACTGCAACAAAAAATAGCTGGACATTGTGGCTGGTCCCTGTAGTCCCAGCTACTCGGGAGGCTGAGGCAAGAGAATCACCAAAGCCCAGGAGCTGGAAGTTGTTGTGAGCTGTGATGCCACCATGGCACTCTACTGAGGGTGACAAAGTGAGACTCTGTCTCTAAAAAAAAAAGGTGATATTGTTGACATGAAGGGAATGGGTACTGTACCAAACAGCCTACCACACAAATGTTACCAGGGCAGAACTGAAGTCTACAGTGTTACCCAGCATGCTGTTGGCATTGTTGGGAACAAGCTAAGGGCAAGATTCCTGCTGAGTGGATTAATG